TATTTCTGTCTTTGTTAAATAAATATTACCATAACAGTTTACAAATAACTTCCACTGTAACTCTGAACCTCTGCATGAACATCTGCAGCTGATTATTGGAGTCAACTCAATTCAAGATGGCCGCCACAACAAGCTGACCTCATCTTTCTGGGTGGAGCTTCCGTGTTCCTCCTGTGCGGGTGTGGGTTTTCTCCCTCAGACCATAAAACAAACATTTGTTTCTGAACTCTAGGTGTGAGTGAGAACCTGACGTGTCCCTGGGATGGACAGGAGACATGTCCTGGTGTCCCCTGCCTCTGGGCGTGGTGCTCAGGTTTGAACACAGTCTTTAGATTTCACAGTGGACTAATTTATAAACTCRTGAACAATAATTTATAGACAGTTCACTTCTTCTGTCTTTACAGTTTAAGCTCCTCCCCCTGGTGTTAAAAGTAATAAATGTCCTAAAGATAGAGCTGATAAAAGCATTTAGTTTAAATAAAAATGATTTTTATTCATTTATTGACTGCTTTCCAACACATTTATTTAGTCAAACTGGATTTCTGTAATGTTTTTTCCAGACATAATGAATAAAACGATATTTCCCAGCAGTCTGAACGGTGCTGTGTGTGTTGGAGTCACAGCAGCTGCAGGTCAGAAAACATGTCACCTGGATCGTTGCACTTCCTCTGACACACACATGACCTTATCCATTGCATCTTCCACTGTATCTTGGACCCCCCTTTGCAGGTGAAGTCCACCTTGATCATGCTGGACTTGTTGGGGACACAGCAGCGTCTGTCTGAACAAACGCCGCAGTAGGTGGGTTTGAACTTCCTGGTGCTGGTGCAGCCGGACATGCTCAGCTTTTCTGCCTTTTTGGCGTGGAACTTTGGACGACACGTCTTTCCCTTCGGAGCCTGGACATGAAAACACTGGTTGGTATGTTTAGGACTTGAACAAAAACAGGTCAGTTGGTGTGATGGGGTCACCTTAACGGTCCTGAGCAGAGTTTTCTTGCAGGGCCGCAGCAGGCACAGGCGGCGCTCCTTCCTCATCTCACATTTGCCGTTGTCGTTGTTGACGCGTGTGGAGATGCCCAGGCCACAGGTCTTAGAGCAGGGGCTCCAGGGGGTGGTCTGGATCAGACAGTTCTTCCTCCAGGCTAAAGGAGGACCCCTGTAAGCTTTCAGTGTTAAAGTTAAATGGCACTGTGCCAACCCCCCCACCCACCCCCTGAGTAGAACCCCCCATCCCCCACCCAAGTCCAGCCTGATTAGAATCCTTCCAGCAGAAAACAAAACATCTAAATGTTTCACTTTGAGCTCTGGGAAACATCAGTTTTTAGAAACAAAGTTTACCGATGAGCTAATGGCTAGTCTGAACACAGCTTGGACCAAAGCAGATTTCTTCTATGAAGTCTGTTCAACAAGAGAGGAGCGACATGGAGTTTGTTTTAAAACAGCTAATAAACTCAGATCTACGGAGTCCGCGAGGGGACAGGGGGGATTTTTTTCTTTTGCGTTCCCTCGCAATACTTTTGCGTTATCTCGCAATACTTTTGTGTTACCTCGCAATACTTTTGCGTTACCTCGCAATGCTTTTGCGTTCCCTCGCAATACTTTTGCGTTACCTCGCAATAATTTTGCGTTACCTCGCAATACTTTTGCGTTACCTCGCAATAATTTTGCGTTACCTCGCAATACTTTTGCGTTACCTCGCAATGCTTTTGCGTTCCCTCGCAATGCTTTTGCGTTACCTCGCAATACTTTTGCGTTACCTCGCAATGCTTTTGCGCTCCCTCGCAATACTTTTGCATTCCCTGACAATACTTTTGTGTTACCTCGCAATACTTTTGCGTTACCTCGCAATGCTTTTGCGTTCCCTCGCAATGCTTTTGCGTTACCTCGCAATACTTTTGCGTTACCTCGCAATAC